GCGCCTCCCACGCGTCGCCCACCGCTACTCCTAGTCCCGCACGGCATGGGTCGTCTAGTTCCCAATCGCGCGTCATCGTGCACGCTTTGCTGCCGCCGAACTTTTCGTGCGCGTGCGTGCAGTCGCCCATCACTCCTACGCCTACTCGGCCTAGGACGTTGCCCGCGTCGTCCCCACTTGCGCGCCCAACGCTTTCCGCGTCCTCGCTGCCCAGGCTCCGCGCGTCCCGGCCACCGTCCGCGCCCCAATCACCTACGGCGCATCCTACTGCGTCCGCTGCTGTACGCGTCGTCTCCCTCGCCCGCGGGCCTCGATCGTCTCTTGCACATCCCCGTGCGCCTGCTGCGTCGCACGCCACTCCCCCGTCCGCGGACTGCTCACCCGCGTGCCATCCGCGCCCTGGCGTTACACACCCGAACGCCAACGCGTCCCAATCGACCTCCGACCCCATCCGCCTATCGCTCGACCCTTCGGCTCCACCGTCGGTCGTGCACCCCCGTTCATCATCTCGCTACGTCCATCCGCGCGCATCATGGGCCGATGCGCGCCACTCGCCCATGAGCCGATCGCCGTCGCCCCTCTCGTCGGCGATCGCCACAGTTGGTTCGGGCCATGGGTCCTAACCATCCAACTTAGAACAACCCTCGGCCGGTATCCACCATCCTTTGTCAACCCATCGCAATCCACGCCTTCTAGCCTCCTTTCTTCGGGCTCGTCTCTTCTTTGTACAAGGCTTACACCAACAACATGAGTCCTTAGTCTTCGCCTTGCGTTTCCTTTGTGCTCGTTTGGTCTTGCGCTTCTTGATCTTCAATTTAGCCCATGGACCACATCCTTCCGGCCGATCCCTCTTGCATGATGGTCGATAAATCGGACTAGATGGCTCCTCGAACATGTTCTCCAACCAAATATCGAGCCCATCGTCCTTCTCCTTGTCGGACTCGCCGGGGTTGATGACCACTTCCGTATCAACCGTCTATAGTGATGCTTCGAAGATGGGTTTGGGTTGCGTCTTGATACAACAAGGGAAAGTCGTAGCCTATGCTTCGAGGCAGCTGAAGCCTCACGAGCAGAACTACCCCACTCATGACCTTGAGTTGGCCGCTGTCGTCCACGCTTTGAAGATCTGGAGGCACTATCTCTATGGAGGCAAGTGCGAGATTTTCACCGACCACAAGAGCTTGAAGTACATTTTCACTCAGAAGGAGCTGAACATGAGGCAGCGTAGGTGGTTGGAGCTGGTCAAGGACTACGATTGCACCATTAGCTACCACCATGGGAAAGCCAACGTGGTGGCCGACGCCCTTAGTCGGAGGAGCCATGGCCAGTTGTCTTGCGTGTTCACCCAGCAGGATGTTCTTCTTCGGGAGTTCGAGCGTTTGCAGTTGGAGGCAGTGGAGTCGACTTCCTCAGCCGGGAGTGTGTTGGCTTCTTTGGTTGTGGGGTCGACTCTTCGAGAGAGGATAGTCGCCGAGCAGCCGAATGACCGTTTCCTATGCCGGA